TGGGTGTTTCAAACGTATGTGTCGATGGTCTGTATGTAGACTGTATGTTAGTGAACCTCAAGATCATTTTGTTTTGGCCTTATGACATCAAACACACAGGCCAATTTTTTATCTTATGTATACCATATATACATATACGTATATCACAGGTCGGCCTCGAGTATCTATCTTTCTATATACTAGTAATAAATCACAAGGCCCAAGGTAAAATTTATGTAATAATTATTTATTCGGACGTTCAAGAATGGGACAGTCTTAGTAAATTTAAAGCAGATTGTTGATTTATCCTGAACATTTTCCAATGTCAACAGTTGGTCAGTCATAATTATTATAATGAATATTTTGGAATATTTAAAGAATTCATAGACTTGACAATGAAAAAATGGGTCAAAGACAGAAAAGGCCGGGTTGCATTTGTACACCAAATATCATGAGGCTGTGATGTTACGAAAAAAATTACCATTGACCCATTAATGTCGAAAATTTATTTAAGTGGGTTAACAGGAAGTGGATGAGCTACACACCTAAAATCGAATCCCACGGTATGGGAACATATGTCAATGCTGTATGCCAAATATCAAGAGGCTGTGATAAGTAGTTGCTGAAAAAACTGTTACGAAAATTTCCTACCATTGACCATTAATGTCGAAAAATTCAACTAATTTCACTTAGTGGATAAACAGGAAGTTGATGAGCGACAGACCTGAAATCAAATCCCGAGGTATGGGACCATGTGTCTATGCTGTATGCCAAATATGAAGAGGCTGTGATAAGAAGTTGCTGACAAAACTGTTACGAAAATATTTTCCCCGCCCGCCCGCGGCCCGACATTCACCATATTATAACCCGGATTTGCACCAGTGCAACCCGGCCAAAAAGTTTTATCAACGCGGCGCACCATTGTACGGTACGGTTAATTAAAATCAAAGGGCTGCAAGCTCTGTGGAATTTTCTAATCTTCGCAATCTAAATCGTACCGTATATCTGTCTGTATTTTCCTGTATAAGTTTATTCTAAATACTATAATTCATCTTGCAGAGCACCGAGATGCAGCGACTTTGTTTAGATTTTTTATCCCCCGCCGAAAGGCAGCGGGGGATATAGAAATAGTATTCGTCAATCCTTCCGTCCGATATTTTTGTCCGGAGCATATCTCAAAAAGCATTTGAGGTATCAACTTGAGACTTTATAGGTGGAAAGATCTCATTGAGGAGGAGTGCAGTGCACAACAATGATAACTCTACCCTGCATAATTTTTTAGTTATTGCCCTTTGTTATTTTCAAAATTAATTTTTGCCCAGAGCATTACTCAAAAAGCCTTTAAAATATCAACATGAAACTTCATAGGTGGATAGAGTGTGCAGTGCATAAGAATGATAACTCTACCTTTCATAATTTTTAGTTATTGCCCTTTGTTATTTTTCATACTGAATTTTTCACCTGAATGGAGCATAACTCAAAGAATCTTTGAGATGTCAACATGAAACATCATAGGTGGATAGATTTATTGAGGAGGAATGCTGTGCGCAAAAATGATTACTTTTCATTATATCATTTTTGAGTTATTGTCCTTTGTTCTTTTTCATACTATTTTGCCCGGAGCTTATCTCAAAAAGTATTTGAGGTATCTACTTGAAACTTCATAGGTGAATAGATCTCATTAAAGAGAAGTGCAGTACACAAGAATTATAATTTTACCCTGCATAATTTTTAAGTTATTGCCCTTTGTTATTTTTCAAAATTAATTTTTGTCCGGATCATAACTCAAAATGCCTTTGAGACTTCATAGGTGGATAGATCTTACTCAGAAGGTGTGCAGTGCATAAGAATGATAAATCCACATTCCATAATATTTGAGTTATTGCCATTTGTTATTTTTCATACTTAATTTTTCACCTGAGTGGAGCATAACTAAAACAGTGTTTGAGTTGTCAACATGAAATGTCAAAAGTGGATAGATCTTATTGAGGAGGAATACTGTGCGCAAGAATGATAAATATACCCTATATAATTTTTGAGTGATTGCCCTTTGTTTTTTTTTTCATACTATTTTGTCCGGAGCTAATCTCAAAAGAATTTGAGGTATCAACATAAAACTTCATATGTGGATAGATCTCATTGAGGAGGAGAGCAGTGAAGAAAAAATGATAACTCTACCCTGCACTATTTTTTTTGTCCAGAGCATAACTCAAAAGACTTTGAGATATCAACATAAAACTTCATAGGTGGATATATCTTACTCAGTAGGTGTGCAGTGCACAAGAATAAAACTCTACCTGTCATAATTTTTGAGTTATTGCCCTTTGTTATTTTTCATACTTAATTTTTCACCTGAGTGGAGCATAACTCAAAAAGTGTTTGAGATGTCAACATGAAACGTCATAGGTGGATAGATCTTATTGAGGAGGAATGCTGAGCGCAAGAATGATAACTTTTCGTTGTATTATTTTCGAGTTATTGCCCTTTGTTTTTTTTCATACTATTTTGTCCGGAGCTTATCTCAAAAAGTATTTGAGGTATGTACCTGAAACTTCATAGGTGGATAGATCTCATTGAGGAGGAGAGCAGTGCACAAGAATGATAACCTACCCTGCATTATTTTTCAGTTATTGCTCTTTGATATTTTCAGCCATCAGTATTCACATAGGTTTTAATTCTGTAATTACTTCAGCCATCAGTTTTCATTACCAAAGGACCTCTTAAAATTAAATTATTATGCTCTACTACATATACATTCTTTCAATTGCGGGGATGGCCATGTTTACATGGCTCTTGTTACTATAACAGTTTGAGCTTCACACATACGGAATTTTGCATGACTAGAGTTGCATCAAAAATCATTTATGTTCATTGTTCATGTTTTATGACAGCCACAATGTATCCTTGCATATCGTGGCTACTTCCTTAAAAAAAGACACTTCAAAAAAAAATGTCTTGACTGGGATTTGAACCCCAGACCTCTCACACACTAAACGAGCGCGTTATCCCTGCCGAGAAGTTATACGAAGAAAGCCTGAATAAAATCAAATAATTCTAAATTTAGAATTTCCATTTCCTTATTAATTTCGAGATATTTTATTCACGATAAACCTGTTGTTTAACACTGATGTAAATAATTTAGCGAAAATCTTCTCGCAAAAACAGTCCGACATGTATATATTGTATCATAGTTTGGGGACCTTTCTGTTGAAAATGCGTCAGAGTTAAATCGTATACATATACATGCACAGTGCGTTAACTGGAGTGCAGGTATTAGTTACCCGCACTCCTGAGCACGCCCATTGATTGGTTCATTTTTGCTGGGGTTTACTTATTGTGACGGCAAAGAAACGAAACGCGACAGAAATAATTATGATATTCAGATGCTCGTTTATTGGTTTTTTTTCTTGGGTTTCATATTGAGAAACAAGGAACGTGTTTTTATGTTTGACTATGATACAAAAGAGAAAGAACACCAAAACACTCGTCAATCTGATTAATACTCGGGGGCTACGCCCCTTCGTACAAATCAGAGAGCCTCGTGTTTCGGTGCTCTTTCTATTACTTCCACTACTCGACAGTCGGATTTAATTGTGTAATACGCTCTGAAGTATTCGGTAAAACCCCTGTCACACTAGGACGGCGTTCTCACGGCGTCCAGTGAAACTTCAGAACGCCGAGGCGAGCGCAGTAAGATCGCAAACATCGCCGCAGCATCGCCGTAGCATCGTAGTGGCATCGCATAGAACGCCGACCGACGGCGCGCATTTTGAGCATGTTCAAAACAAACGCCGTCACTCGGCGTTCTAAAATGAGCGCAGTGGGATCGCAGATAGGACGCCGTAGCAACTCCGTAGCATATCCTACAACGCAACAGGAGCGCCATGAAAGCGCAAAAGGAACACCGTATGAACGCGGTGGTTATCCACGGCGCTTGTACGGAGTTTTTGCGGCGTCTTTACCGCGCTTATACTGCGTGTGCACGGCGCTTTTACAGAGCTTTACGATTTCAGGGCAGTGTGAATGCCGCGAGAACGCAGTATGAGCGCCGTAAATGCGCAGTGAAAGCGCAAAGAACGTCGTGGAAGCGCGATCCGAACGAAGACAATCGTCAATTGGAACGCCGTGAAAGCTCCGTAACATCGCCATGATCGCCGTGGGGACGCCGTGAAGACTCCATGAAGTCTTTATGTCAACAAAAATATAACATTTTTTATTGCGATCTCGCGGCGCTTTGTTAAATTTTACAACGCCGTGCAAACGCAGTGAAAGCGCAGTCTGGTGTGACAGGGCCTTAATCGACATCGCTAAAATAGCATTTTGATTGATTAAAATGATATAAATCGCGTTATTTGTGATTGTGCATTAATTGACAATTCTATAAGCCAACCCTACTTTTAAACTTTGAATCCGTTGTAATTTGTTGGATACTTGTAAAAAAATGAAAATATTTCTTTCTTTTACATCGCTAGTTTTAACCTGTTTTGAGAACTACTTGTATATTGAAGCCCTGTGCCAGATATTGAATGTCAGCATTGTATTTCCTGATCTGCGATCAGGAAATACAAAAATAGTAACATGCACTGCTCGTGTGTGAGTGCTATAACATATCTCATATACTTTGAAGGGTTATAATGCCGGCATTAAAAAGTAATATTTGTTGTCTATGAAAACTAACTTATACATCATATGAGCAAAATATAAATATATGAAATAATAATATATATAGAGATATATAGTGATAGAAAATAAGCATAATTGCATGTAGGACAATGTAACATTTCATGATAAAGCTACTTTTTTCCCCACAACCAAAGGACTGTTCCCTTTTCTTTATCACGTTTCTATATTTCAAAAGGGGAGTTTTTTATGCAGATTTCCGTAATAAGTTGACATATCTCTTGAACGTTTTAATAATTACATCTACATTTTATTTAGAAATTTAACAATTCTACAGGTGTGTAATTTGGATCTGGAACAAGGGTTAAAAATAAAGCAAATTTTAATAATAAACAAGACAGTTCTAGTTCGCATATACTTTATTTTTCGTGTAAAGCATTATCAAAGAAGTAACAATATTTAATATTAGTTAGCGGTTGTCGTTACTACAACTCTGTCATGGCTTGTTTTTCTTCCCTCCATCCACAAAACCACATAAATACGGGATGTCCAATAGTTAAAACACTTACGCATAAAAGAAAAATGTCAACCTGAAAATATATCAATTATTCTGTAAATCTTAACTGACAATGTGCACTAATGTTAACATAAAAATCATACACTTTTAATAAGCAGTGAACGTCTGCCTTATAAATGTTATACTGCATAAATGTATAAATATCAATCGGTATTCGTCTAACTTAAAAACAATGCATAAATCCCTGACTTCTCTAATTTTAAATATCAGTTTAGTGGATACAATAGCATTCACCACAACCTCCTCTTTTTACCAAAAAAAACCATGTTAGATATACATGTATTGTTATTCAAATAAATAAAAAAAAGGTCATAGTGGGTATCTATCAATTGTGCCAGTCATCCAAATATTGCTGAGCTTAATACTTAATGGTGTATCTGGTTAACTCACATGAAATGGTGCTTTAAAATAGGCCTCCGCCCAGCTGAACAATGCATACTGGAACAAACTAAACACGCCCGCAGCAATCATCGTTATTCCATACAATACGGCAAAATATTGACTCGGAAATCTATATAAAATATAAATATTGAACGTTATAGCATGATTATTGTATAGCTAAACATATACAGATGAAAACTACAGTTTGTACAAATATAATTATAAATAATGAATAAATTAACATAAAAAGTGTATTAAAGTAATACATGTACTTTCTTGGGGGAAAAACTAGTTTGCATGTATTATTGTGTACAATTTGAATGAGCAAAAATTAATATATAAACACATATTTATGTGTCAACATTGATTTGTTAAATGAGTCATCAAAGCTCACTGTTTAGAATATGAAACAATCAGACAAAATTATAAAAGATAAAAACATATGGTGCAAGATCAAATGAATTTCTGAATGATAGATTGTATGATAATGTAGTAACAGCGTTTGCATTCGACATACAATATAACTACTTTTACAGCTTTTGTAGTTAATGAATCGTTTATACGAATACATTAAATGGTATGGTGTGTGAAACTGATTCTTCCTTTGACACGAAAAAAAAACAGTGAATATACATGCTACTTTTATGAAATACAAAGAATTCGTTCGCATGAACTAGTTTGCAATGTGAATCACTCTATTCATACATAGAATATGCGTCAAATTTGTGAATTTACTGCAAAGTTGTAGTAAATATGCTAGATATACTTTTAGTTCGCAAAAGAACTTAAAAACATTTCAAACAAAAGATACGCGTGCCACACATCATTTTGACTAGAACTGATTTGATGAATAAGTCTTATATGCATAAATAACACTTATAAAAAGAGCATTAATTATATATTATTACATGTTTATGAGATACTTACAATGCATTTATAAATGCTGCCGCCATACTATATAAGAATGATCTGTAAAGTGTCATGGTGATAAAGATGATGTACAGAATGATATCTGTCGGTTTGAGCACCAGCACTGACAGCACAGTAGCAAAAACACTTGCCAGAGATAGTGGTAATAGTGCTGGCATTAAACATCGGTACAACTTTGTACTACCCTCTGAAAAAATAACGTTTGCATAAAAACAATTATATTTAGTACATAAGTTGATGAACATACAGATCAACTGTATTAATGTTAGCAGGTGCAGAAATGGAAGACAAAACTTACTTCTACAACATCACTTTAAAATGTTTTTGAACAGTCTTAATGCAGATATATACGACCGAAAATAGACATCTAACAATCTTTAATGACGAATCCCAAATAAGTTACCTATTAAATTTATGTACATATCTTTTTATAAATCAATATATAACAATGGTGTGTTTAATCAACTGTTATTTCAAAGTCGACGAATATGTACGCTAGACGTTGATAAAATATAAAAAAAACAGTAGTAATTTGTTTAGTAATTGTAAAATAAGCTTTTTTTTACTTTTAAATATTGCTTTCTGTCCATCATAGACAATTCCGACAAGAAAAGAAGTAAAAAGACCTCCCATCATTGTGTAGAAGCAAACATCGGTAAAATAGCTCACTGAAACAAATTAAATGTACAAAAATGACATTGACAACTATATATGTGTACTCAAGCACATGAACTTATTAGTTTTAAAGATTGACTGTAAATTGCCGATAATTATATGCTACGCATAGTTTAATGTCCAATGTATATTAAAAAATCCAAGTTCCATTTTTAAAGGCCCATTATGCCTCTGAATGGCTTTTTTTTAATTTCTCAAAACGCTTTTTATTTTTTGGTATACTTTGATGGTTCCCGAAAGTTATTTATTGGCTAATTACCTGAACCATTTTTTTCAGATACTGTCTTGTAAAGTTTTTATATGGAAGTCAAAATACTACTTGTACTTTGTTTACATTTTGCTACTTTTATGACACATTATTTTACATTTATCGAGGCATTGCATCTAATATGCTCTAAATCATTTAAACATTAAACAATTCATGTTTGTCCATTCTTAAGAAGTAAAATGTATTCATTTCTGAGGCATACTGTGCATTTATTTAAAATAGAGAGAAATAAAGAATCGCATAAGAACGCACGATGTTGCAGGCTCGGTTTGATTGAGCCTGTTCATGGACGGTAATGATAAGTGCAAGTTACCGCCCATGCTCCCTAGCACCGGCTTAAGCAGTATTCAACATTTATCATGAAATGGTAACATTTTGAATTTTGAAACATCCGCAGATGTTTTCATACGGCGATTATCATGAAACCATCAATGTGACACTGTAGTTAGTGCCATTTCATGATAAGCGGCGTATGGTAAGTAAATTATATAACTTGCACTATTTCAACGAAATGGATGCAAAATGAATACCTTTACTAACATCATTGTTAAGTGTCCTGTTCAAGAATGTATTAAGGTTGCCTATGAAATAATAAAACCGAAGCTGTAAAAGACATAACCAAATATTATGAGTTATAAACAACGGTTGGCGCAGGTAACTGTTTAATGGTTGAATATCTGCTATAGAAACCCTTCGTCTATCTGAAACAAAGCAACGAACTCCTGTTACCATATTGTAATTACTGATTTCACTATTCATTAAATGTCAATTAAATTTCAATATATACATAAATATATCATTACATTTTTAAGACAATTAAAAATAATATTGAAGCTGAAATGATTCCAATCGTAAGGTCAATCAAAGAAAAAAGTTAAATCATCAGTGCAATCGAAATAATTTAGCATTTATATTGTGTTGCTTACATGCTTTCTTTAAAATTTAGTAAACGTGTAGACTTAATTTCGGATTTATCTGAATTGATTAATACGTTTGTGATAAAGTAAATCATACAGTGTAACATTTACTTACTCAATCGTGGGTTTTCTTGGATCAATAGTTTTTCTTTCGTGTTTGAATCAGGATTTTCAACTGTATGCTCTCTTACTGTTACAGGTGGTTGTTGATATATGAAATCTTTAGGCAGATATTTCTGTGTGCTTACAAGGGTTAGACAGTGCACACCAAGTATGACGAAAAATATGTTTCTTCGAGAAAATCCACTTTGATGAGCAAGCTAAAACCATGAAAAATGAATATACAATAAATTGTTTTACAGCTTTCCTTATAAATGTTTGAGGGAAAAATGGTTAAATAACTTCAAGTACCTAATTGATACTTCTCGAATCTGTTCATCTTTTATGTCCCACTTTTCTTTTAATTTCTATAATGATATTACAATGATACAGACAATTAACAAGAAAAGATCCTGTAGAGTACGTTTCAATAGAAGAATTTTTCGAACAATTTAATAAATGCATAAAAAGTAAACATACTTTAATGACCAGGTACACGGCAGCTGACATGTCGTAGCCACCACAAAATAACCCAACAACTGATGAACTTCCGGTTGTAAATAAGTTAGCAACCTGTAGATTAATATAGAAATGTATAAATATCAAGAATTAATGCACTAAACATATAGATGTAATTGCAAACAAACAATAGACGTTCAAAACATATTTTTCTAAAAAAAATGGTATCGAAGAGTTCTGTTTGAAGATCCGACGTAAAGAATGATTTCTAAATAACAAATAACTATTGTGTGATAAATGCATAATGTTTTAAAAGAAAACATGTGCTGCATTCATTTGCAGAACCATTACAAAGGACACGATGTTGTGTTCACGGTTATGCGGCAAAATATAGATACCTGATTATTGGTAACAAACAATGGTAAACCTCCAATGCCTATCATTGACAGCCCGGGGAACATTAACCACGGCACGGCTAAAATAAAACACGAATGTTGTTTAGTATAGCAGAACAGATAATCATTCTAACAAATAAAACATTCTATAGTTCGTGAATAGTTCAAATGACTGCGCCTATAATACACTTTAACAGCATTGAAGACAATTTGTTGTAATAGTTTGTTTTTGTTTTTTGTTGTAACAGTTTTTTTAGTTTTCTTTTTATTTATTTTTTTTTTTATGTTTTTTTGTTTTTGTTTTTGTCTTTGTTTTATTTTTTACTATAACCATATATATATAAGTAATTTACATTTACCTTTAGAGACAAACGCCAAACAAAGTGCCCCAGCAACAAATATTACACTGAAGTAAAAGGAAGAGATATGTAGATATAATAACAATCTAATATGGATAAATATGAAATGTTTGTTTTTGTTACCTACATCAATAGGCATATAGTAAAAGTGTATAAATTATTTAGAAATCCTCTACCTGACATAATTTTTATAATGCTTCTTTAAAAAAGTGTTATTACCGTTCGTTATATAATCAAGATTTGAAACAAGCTTCAAGAAAATTCCATTTTATTTTAAAAAAGTTAATAAGAACTTACTTACAAGGCAATGTATCGTGTTATTCTAGTTCCTAGTTTATAATTGACTTGACCCATAACAACACAACTAATACAGAATATTGATGATGATATGGTAAAACACAGTGATAACATGCTATCCTGTTCTTTACATTGAACTCTTTCATTCTTTACAGTGTAAGACATTTCTCCACTAATATTTGTTTTATAAAACACTGTGAGGTTATTAATATCTGCTGCATTGGTAGCATCTATGACAGTTATATTGTCTAACATATTATCACCATAATTATATATCATTGCGTTTCTTGTCGTGTTGGAATCCAAGCCAAAGTCTGATGACGTCATGTTATTCAATGAAGTATCACACAGATTTGAATATATTCCTTCATCTTTGAAAACAAAGACTAGAGAGCTCCAGCCATAGAGTGTACCAGCAAAAAACAAACATTCAAAGAATGCCCATATAACCATCATGTATTTCACCCATTCTTTCTTACTTTTGCTTAGTGACATTTTAAACCTGCAGAGGCTTTTAAATTGTTGATAAATGACTGTCAATAAAGATCACCTTGATCTGAAACGGAATAGTGAATTGTAATAACCTGTTTTATTGTTAAAAACGTCGGATAAAGTAATTTATAAGATGAGAATGTTTTCTAATTGTATATCATTTTGGAAACTCTGGGAAACACTGCTAAATCATGACTAACATCTTTAACATTTATCAGCTCGCTCTGCCATTACTACAATTTATTTAGATCTAGTTTGAGATATCTTTTAACAAACAAGAGCGAAAGTATTAACTGTTCTAAGTTTAAATATTGTTTTACAAGGAAAAAATTTACAGAGAATCGTTTTCGGTTTACTGCTATAAACGTAAACAAACATAATATCGCAAAACTTGCATCAATGAGCGTGTAAATTGTATACCTCTAAAAGTTTGCAACAAAAGGATATAATTTTATAATTATACCATGCACATTTAACAATTATTTTGAAACAATAACAAGTTTACAACATCGGTCAAATGTAGAAAAAGAATTAGATTAAGCATTATATTCTAAATACACGTCATATCTTAAGTATCAACCATTTATCTCAAATGATTAGACCACGTAAACCTGCTAAATTTAGTTTATTAATTAAACAAGTATCTGCATTTTACTCGTGTATCTGGCTAAAAATAA